CAGTTTGGTATTTAAACATGCTTAGAAACATCATTAAAAGTATGCAAATGGTTAAATTGGTTGCTGTCATTATAGCATTGTACCAACCTCGACAGGGGCCAATGTTGAACACGCTGAATGATTTCTGGAAGATGGTGTGGGAGCAGAAGGCCTCAAGTATCGTCATGTTGACCGAACTCATGGAACGCAACAGGGTCTCTGCATGTTCATGAATGTGTTCAATTCATGTTGAGATTGTCGTTTATATTGTTGTTGTTACTATTGCTGAAGTATTTTTTAGAGCATCTGTATTTTATTTCATTTCAAGTAATTAAGTAACAACATGAAGAGTGATTTTAAATTGCTTTTTAATCGTTTTTATTTCATATACTTACTCCACTATCCTGTCATCGTCCATGTCTTTGTCATCGCCGTCAAATACGTCAAATACGACGACATCAGAGCTTAGTTAGAACATCATTGTCATCATGACGGTCATCACCCGCAGATGAAATGTGACCAATACTGGCCCTCGAACAGCACAGAGTTGTATGGATTCGTGTATGTCTCGTTGTCTGACGTTCACACGTTCGCAACGTACGTCGTCAGGACTTTTCAACTCACTAATGTTCGTCGGCGCTGTTTTCTTGGCGTTTGCTCATTATGCTTATATGTTGTTTAGTCTTGATTGCTAAATATTTCTAAAAAAATTTATTTTTTTTTTGAAATTTTCGATTGCTTATAACGATTATACTTTCAAAAAAATGTTCTGGAACATCATGAAGGATAATCAATTTGTATGATACATTGTATGCAGAATGTGTTTGGTAATTTTACGCCTTTGTCTGTTGTACGTAGGTCGCTAAAATGTCACATATCTTATAAATTACAATCAGGTCAACAGTTTAGAGAAACGCATGTTGACTCAGTATCAATTCACTGACTGGCCTGAACAGGGCGTGCCAACATCGCCAGTCACCTTCTTGAACTTTGTGCGAAGAGTAAAATCTCTGCAATCTGTCTTTTCATGTCCTATGATTGTTCATTGCAGGTTGGTTGGTTGGTCAGTCGGTCGGTTGGTTGGTCAGTTGGTTGGTCAGTCGGTTGATTGATAGGCTAATCGGTTAGAGATTTGATTTTTCAAAAAAAAACCGTCACACATAACAACATTGAGTTACAGGATGGCTGGCTGGTTTTGATTTGATTGTTTAATTTTTATACCTACATTTTAATATGTTGTGAAGTGTATTTCACTTATTAAGTTTGTTCTTCTATGTATGCATTTATTATTTATTTATTCATTTAAATTTATTTAAATTCGCTCCTAAACACTTCTCGGAGAACAATTATTTGTGTGTCTCAAAAGTAAAAAGCCTTTCTATAGTTAAACCAACAAAACTAATGACGACTTTACTGAGGTATCTGAAAAAATACATACAGTGCAGGTGTGGGTCGTACAGGTGTGTTCATAGCAGCGGATGCTCTCCTGGACCGACTGCAGTACGAGGAACTAGTTGATGTCTTCACGTACGTCACTTTCCTCAGATCTCAGCGAAACTACATGATTCAAACAGAGGAACAGTACAGATTCCTTTATGAATTGTTGAGGGAGGCCGTCGAATATGGCAGCACAGAAGTTTCGGCCGATCGACTCTTCATGTACGTCTCAAATCTCTTCAACGTCAACTCCAAAACTGGCATCTCCGAGGTCCAACTGGAGTTTAAAGTAGGCTCTCGTTGTGTTTCTTCTGCCTGATAATGACTCCCTTTGCTGTGTGATTCTGAAGTTGTGTTGTAACATCGCATCGTTTGTTTTTATTTCAAATTGATTTTAGTTAGATGTTTAATGACATGTCTTTTGTAGAAACTTGAAGACCTGACACTACCAACATCTTCAGCTTTCAAGACGTTGTCTCATGCCAACAGATCAAAAAATAGATCTCAAAATATAATACCAAGTCAGTCAAATGTTATTACATTAACCAATCACTCATTATCCGTAACAGTTTATAGGGTTAAATAGGAAGTAACGGCAAGTGGCCGGTTGAGAATTCCGTATGCAGATAATTGTTATACGTTGACTCACACGTATTTGTAACGTTGTGTGTGTTTGATACTTCTGTGTAATGAATAAAATATAATAGAATACGATTACCATCCACTGTTTTACAGTTTTTAACTCTTATTAAATTTGTTTTCGCATGTAGGTCAGAAATTAGTTGGCTATCTAATTAAAATTTTTATTAGTATAAGCAGTTATATTTTAATCACTTCACCGGTGAATCATTTTTGTTATAATTATGAATGTCTGCATTCAAATTGATTCACTTTATTTTTCTCTTTTGTAATAAAAAGATGAGGAGACGAGAGTACATCTCAACCCGCTACCTGATGTGTCAGGATCTGATTACATCAATGCCAATTTCATTGATGTATGTTTTACCTTCTTGTAATTCAGTTTTTTAATTTATATTGACAATATGTTTACATTTCAATTAATGTATTCTAAACCTGCACCGTCATTAATTTATTCACTTTTGTAAATTTTGTTGGTGTTATTTATTCATTAATTCATTAAAATTCACTTCTAAACATTTTTCGGAAGATAATTTACTTGAAATCAATAAGTTTGTCCAAAACAGTCCATTGCAAGCGACAAATGTTAAGTGTTAAGCCGTCATCAATATTAAGTCACGTAAAGCCCGAATACTTACGTCATATTATTCTAATCACTGCCTTCAAAATGCGATGATAAAACAACGACACCAACACAGAGTTATAAAGAGAAGAGGGCCTTCATAGCTTGCCAGGCTCCAATGCTCTCCACCTGCGAGGATTTTTGGCGGATGCTCTGGGAGCAGAAGTCCTCCATCATCGTCATGCTGCTCAAGCTCAAAGAATGTGGCAAAGTATGCGCTTATTGATTACGACTCAATTATTATTGTTTCTTATAGAATCAAACACAAGCATTTTAAAAACGTCTGCGATTTTTTCTTGGTTTAATAAAATATTTGATAAAAAAAACGTTAATTACCCAATGTTTATAATAAAAGTTGACGAAATCTTATAATTTGTCGGACACATTAGATGGCATTGTTTGTTACAGTTCAATTATGAAATTTGTCTAAAGTTTTAAAAAAAATCAATCGTGTCTGTTAACAAAAGCCAAATTTAATTCTAAAGTTTAGGATGATTTAAAGACTAGCTGAAATAAAAACTAATAAAACTAATAATATTTAGTTTGACTGTGCATTGTTGTCTGTGATTGAATTCTTCTCGAAAATTAAAAAATCAGTCATTAAAAAGTTAACAGTTCTCCATATTTCTGACAAGTAACTAATCACGAAACAGGAGTTATGCCACGCATATTGGCCTGAAGGTCGTTCTGCCAGGTACCGTTACTTTGTTGTTGACCCGATTGCACAGTACAACATGCCCTTCTACATTCTGAGGGAGTTCAAGGTCACAGATGCAAGGGTCTGTATCATAGGATTTGTGTTATATAATTTGTATCATGTGATATGTATCATATACTGTATCGTGTAGTCAGTAACAATTTTTGTGATTCACTTTTTTATGATTAAGTTTGACGCTTGAAAAGGAATTATGTTGATTTTTTTAAATTAATTTTTTTACTTTTGTTTTTGGAACTGTCTCATACATCGTTGTTTCAAGTTTCCAGCTCATGTCACACCCACCTTCCATTTGATTTTTATTCATAGAATTGATTCGTTTTACTTGTACAATTTTGTGATATTACTCGTTATTAGTGAATGAATGTGTTTATTGACCTTAATTTACTTACAGTTTGTAATTCGTTTTTCTTTTTTTTTCTTCTTCCCTTAAGATTTACTTTGTGTAATAAAGATCTCCTATGTAATTGTTTTAAGTCACGAATGACATTTCTATTTTCGAATGTTTTTTTCCGTGTTATTTGTCACTGAAACAGTTTTGTGACACTATCAATTTGAGTTCTTCATAAAGAAAATATGGTAACAAAATATTCTACATAAAATGTCACGAACGACCTTGAATACTATCAGGATGGTCAGTCTCGAATCATCAGACAGTTTCAGTACACCGACTGGCCGGAGCAGGGCACTCCGTCGTCATGTGAAAGCTTCATCGAATTCATAGGACACATACAAAAAACCAGACAACAATTCGGTTTGGATAATCCAGTCACTGTTCACTGCTGGTTATTATTTGATGCAATATTCTGGCGATTTGTTAGTCTTACACATACATGCATACTCGCACATACATGCACACACACGCGCACACACGCGTGTATATATGTATAAATATATTTATATATATTATATTTTGACATCAACAAATATTACTTTAATAAAATAATATCTCTGAGAACATTTATTCTTCATATTATTTTGTTAAACATTTTCAAGTGGATCTCGAACTAAGACAAACTAGACTAAACAATTTATGGGTTTAAAATTCAATTATGTGTATTGTCAATTTTGTCTTTCCAGCTATGGCTCTGGAAGGACAGGTGTCTTCATAGGGTTGAATAATTCTTTGGAGAGGCTGCGTTTCGAAGGAGTAATTGATATGTTTCAAACTGTTCGACTCATCAAAGGACAACGATCGGCCTTGGTACAAACTGAGGTCTGCTTTATTCTTACTATTATAACCCATAGAAAAGCTTTAGTTAATTAAGTTAATTACATGAATATTTATTTAGCGGGCGTTGTTTCTGTTTTTGGCTTTTTCATTCAACACGAACGTTTGCTATTAAAAAATGTTTGATATATTGACGGATATTGCATATATCTATTAATTTTTATCATCGTTTTTCAATTCTTCACGCCATGTTTTTGACAATTCAGATATTTACTTGCCTATATATCTACATATTTTTAATATCAAGGAGCAGTATGGCTTTTGCTACCAGGCGGCTCTCGAGTACCTCGGATCATTTGACCATCTCGCAACATAAGACTTCATCGAGTGTAAAAAAAATACTCAATCTCTTTTTCTGTTTTATGTTCTCGAAATTGCCTCATGTTGTTTTTGTCCAGAATCTGCACTTTATAAATTTTAATTGTTCATTTAATTATTTTCAGCTGTAGGTCATTTCGGTCACAACTCACTTTTTATATTTTTATGATTTATGCATTTATTTTAAACTTTCAAAAAATTGAAATGGGCAACTTTTCAAAATTTATTTATAAAACTGTAAGTCGGTTAATCAAATTAATACAGTTTTAAACAGAAAATAACAGAAAATCATTCAGGAAATAATTTATCTAAATTCATATGTTCCATGTTCTACTTTTAAAATAAAATGATAATCATTAAAGACGGTTAAAGGTCTAAATACGAATGATCAAAAAGGTAATTCTGCCAGCAGGATTACATGGCAATATAATCCCCACATTCGGACGTTGAGGCTTCATTCATTTATTAATTTATCATTTGTATCAAAGATTAACAAATAAATAAGTAAAATTAGGTACGAAAACACATATGAGACGTGCGTTATACATTTTTCAATAAATATGCGAATCAATCAGGGCCGCTATGTACATGTTGGATTTTAAATAGACAAGAACGGGACATGACAGTCATCCAGTTAATCGCATTCGAAAGTCAATCACATATTGCGTTAATAAAGCAAAAAGCCAAAAAAGGATGTGTGGTATCCGTAAGAATTACTTGTTATTGCTCCGTTGCTTTCAACTACAACTTTGAGAACGTCGTTTGCTTCTAAAAGAATAACTGCACCGTGCCCCAGGATATCCACTCCATTGGAGTTTGTTGAAAGTCTATCTATATTAAACACGACTCCATTGTTTCTTCTCAAGCTGACAGATGTTTTCTGTGCGGCTGGAGCGCCTATACTTGCATATATATAATAGTAACCTCTTATAATTATGGTAACTATGGCATTGTTGCTTGTTCCTACATTTTGACTGATACGCCACTGGTCGAATGTTAGAGGATCTGCAGCGTTTGAGTTACTGCTTCTGTATGCAGACCAAGCAGCCGACGTTCCTTGCATCACACCGTACGGGAAGATCACCAGCGAGATTAAGTTTGAGTTTATCCCAGGCTCAATATTTCCATAATTGTTTACGAGTCTGATTGTTGATGAGCATGGAAGAAATAGTGAGCGAGACATTGTTGTCACTCCGTCGGTGTTTGTGTTCATTCTTTGCGCGGTGTATATACCGTCCAATCCTTCAATCACCATCTGGGCCTGTGTGTATGCGGATACTCCTGCGGAGAAACTGATGAAGTAATTCGTATTTGATTTGCAGGCGTATGTGTTGTCAGCTGTGTTGAAAATGTTGTCGGTTGGATTGACGTATGGATTGGGAAATCTAATTATCTGATACCTGAGGAAAATAAAAACAGGAAAAAATAAACTAGTTAAATGTTAAGATCGTGATGAACCGCTTACTCAGAGTAACGTTCATTGCTGAATCCACTAAATAGTTGTTTATTGTTATACATGGAGTTTGTGATACTGAACGAGGACCACGCTGTTTGACTGTTTGTGCTGACTACGCTGCCACTTAACAAGTTCAAGCTGATGGTCACACCCTTCGTGAAAAATGCCACAGCTGATCTACAACCTGTTTCAAGTCCATCATTCATCGTAGACAGCCAGTCAAATCCAATTGGTGAGGGATAAGCTCCTTTTGTTTGCAGTCGTGCTGTGGCTCGAGGAGGTATGCCAGCACATATCTCCACGAAATTAAATGAAGAGTCCAAATCCATTCTGCATTGATCGTTGTTTTGAGTCCAACCATTCAGTCTGTTGGCAAGTACAACGTCCACTAAGAGTGGATCCGTTTGTCCAGTTCGCATTCCATTTAATGCAACTCCAAACGTACAGTCGGTTCCTGGTTGTTTCATTGTTTTTCATAAAAATTATTATGAACATTCTCACAAATGGAAGTTTTTCTAAAAAAAATAACCCGTTTGAGGAAAACTTTGTGCACTGGTTGTAGTCATAATCTGTCTAGTTGTCGTGGTAGTAGTTGACGTTGTTGTAGTGATAACTCTTGTTGGTACACCGGCTATTATTTTATAAAATTTATGTAAATAAGCAAATAAAATGTATAATATGAGACACAGAGTGAAATGTTGTTCTTACTTTGCGTAACAGACTTGCAGGAGAACTGGTTTATGAAGAGTGTGAGGTTGTTGAAAGCTAAATTGATTTGTGAGAACGACGGGACCCAAGCGACGCCCCCTGGTGACGCATATCTGCTCAGTTCATCCATACTTATCTTGTTTCCAACACCGATAGCTACAAATTTACAATAAAGCAATCAATCACCCAATTTATTCAGTTATTGCATATAAAATCTAATATTCTTACCAAATCTTTTAATGTTTGTTATCTGCAACAAGGCAACTTCCGGTGAAAACATATTTCTCCACTGAGAACTGACGCTTCCATCAGTTATCATCACCATAACTGGAACTTGATCCGGTCTGGCTCCTCCGTTTGCATATTGAAATAATTCGCGACCAGCTTTTATAGCTGACGGATGGTTTGTCTCGGCACCGGCAAAAGGCAACGCTTTAATGAAACTCAAAAGAGATGCAAAGTTTGAATAATAGTTTGTGAAATTAAGAACAACTTGAGCGTTGCTGGAAAAAGTTACTATAGCCAAATGATCCAAATAATAGCCATATCTTATTGATTTTGAGACAACTGTTTGAACAAAATCTTTTTGTAATTCCCAGTTATCAACATCAGTTCCCTCATTTATGCTTCCAGAGTTATCCAGCAGCATTGCTAAGTCAACAAAACATTCTCCTGGATAGGTGTGATAAAATTCAAAACTGTTTCAAATATTTGCTATAAAAATCAAAGTATTTTTATAAATTTATTTTGAAAGCATAAACATTGAGCTGACCTGGTAGAGGTGGTTGAATGGTAGTGGTTGTAGCTGCAAAATATAAAATTATATGTCATGAACAATTTTCAACATGAAAATAATAATTTAATGTAAATTTATCTTACTGGTCGTTGGAGCCGGTAGATCCGGAATACAAAAACTCCTTGAATAAAAAGTTGATCCAGATTCAAAAGATATTGAACTAACTTCTCCTCTGAAAAGATAACACGAGCTAGTGTAATCGATATATGTAAAACCGGTACAATTTGTGTTTAGACATCTTTCTTTGCATGAGTCTAGGTTTTGGCTAGGTATTTGCATATAGCTTTTAAGTTTGTCCGGGCTGGAGTTTGAGGTTGATGAAAAGTCGTTCAAGCAGGCGTTCGGATAATCTGACACATTTTGAGATGTTATTAATTTTTTTTGTTAATATTTTTAAAATAATCAAATAATGTTTACTTGGAGCAGTTGCTGAGCATCTAATGTATCTATTGCAGCAACTGTTTGCTTGTCCTTGAGCACCAGTGATAATTCTGTGTATGAAACAACTTCTGGTAGAAAGAGCATAGTCAACAGATAAGCACAACGCATCTAAATTGCATCTTGCTAGACATTCTTGTTCATCAATGTTTGTTGCTATTTGAGTGCCTGCATCATCGTTCATCCCATACATTTTCACTATGGACGGGCATTCTGTTTCAATTGTAAAATGTAACTCAGTAGCTTTTAAATATTTCACTAAAGTGAGAAAGGTTAGGATCGCAGGTTATTGGTAACGAAAAATTGTTCAAAATAACAATCATACTAATGAAAAATAAAAATGGAGAGAAGAGGACAACAAAACGTAAAATTTGTGCAGTCTTCTAAGTATACCAAACAATACAAATACTTGAATAAAAGAATTTTTTAAATTAAATAATTGATATATGGAAAAATGTATTTGGCAAAATCTGACTTGGTCCCGTTGAGCCAGACAGTGTTGTCGTCGTTGGCAGAGCTTGAAGAGAAACAAATTTTTTTAAAGCATTCATACAATAAACTTATTAACATTTGTTAATTATTTACACACCTTTTGTTGTGCATCCCAAATCAACTCTACTAATGTCGTAATGGTTCACTCCTGGTGCATAATTCCTCGGACCAGTTGTTGTCAGAATGTAGCAACCCGCTGGCGACATGTTCAAATCAAAGTCAATTGCCACACAGGGTAGAAGGTTGATGCATGCTTGTTTGCAGGAATCCAAGGTGTTTGCTCTGTTGAACGTCCCTCCAGCCACATTGTTGCCCAAATATTCAGACCACAAGTAAGTAAAACATCCAGAAGATGCTGTCATTGTTTATTTGAATATTTCATTGTTACAATAACCAAGTTGAATGATTAGATTAAGAACTCACGAGTTGAAGGTACTATTCTTTGTGTAGTGGAAGTTGTAATCATTCTCGTAGTTGTTGATGTTGATGTAGTTGTTGATGTTGATGTAGTTGTTGATGTTGATGTTGAGGGTGTTGATGTGGTCAGACTAAAAGTTCTGATTGTAGGGGTCGGAGTTGTGAACAGTCTGGAGCTTGTTGGTGTCGATGGAACTATAATCGTCGATGTAGTTGTTGGCGTTGACACAATTACTATCAAGTAAACATTTTGAAGTTAGTTGTTAAACAACTTTTTAAAAAATATTGATTTGAATAAATTATATATATATATATATATATATATATATATATATATATATATATATATATATATATATATTTACAATATTCTATAAATTCTACCGAATGTTTGGCGTTAATATGTTTGTAGTTCGTTTTTTCGATTTTTCTCACTAAAGTTTTTTGGTGAACGTTTAGTTTATTAAAATTCAAAATAAACTTATTTTTCGAATTCATGCTGCAAATAAGGCCATATTTGATTCCGAATGAATCATCATCAGG